GTCGAGAAGAACATCCATTCAAATGAACGAACGAATAACAGACATATCTCCGGAGCTTAATATGGAAGAAACAAAAGCACAGTCGAGAAGAACATCCATTGAAATGAACGAACGAATAATAGACAGATCCTCGGAGCTCGAAATCAAAGAAGAGAAACCAGCATCGAGAAAAGCATCTGTTCAAACGGGCGAGCAACACATAGATATATCTCCAGATTTCAGGGGCGAAGGAGACCAACAACCATTGTCGCGTAGAGCATCCGCGTCAACAAATGAAGCTCTCTTGCCCTTATATTCAGGTACAAACCTCGAAGACAAAGAAGGATTGCGTCTCACAAGTGACCTGGATTCACCCGGAGACCTGTCTGCTTTTACTACCGACTCAGAAGACATAGAGTTGACATCGCTACCCAAATCCCCGCCGTTTTTAGCCGCAGGGAGGGTCAGAAGCGCTGCGGCAGCTCTCGCCGACACGTCAGGACAAGACTCATCACTAGAACACCAGTCGTCTGACAACTCGGGCATACAACCAGAATACCTGAGCGAGGCGTCCACGGAAACGGACCACTCTGATGTTCAGCTTGACGAAACTCCGCTGGGGGCGAGGAACGCATTGAACGCCCCTCAGTATTCCCGGGAGACTGATCACGAGCTCACGTCAGGTGACGAAGTGAAGCTGGACAGGTACCTTGATGTGAGCGAGACTGACGGAGAGTCCGTTGATGGCTTCCCGACAGCCGACAGTACCATTTCGTCGACGTCAGAGGAGGAAAGCGAAAACCAAGAGGTTGTTGGCACGAACGCGGGTGATGAGTATCAAGTTTCCACGGGTGATGAGTATCAAGCTACCACGGGCGATGAGTATCAAGAATCCACGGATGATGAGTATCAAGAATCTAAAGGTGATGAGTATCAAGCTTTCACGGGCGATGAGTATCAAGAATCCACCGGTGATGAGTATCAAGCTTTCACGGAAGCCCAAGGTCAACTTGTTTACCTGGTCGGGAATGTCCCAGCAGCAAGGTAAGAATTCGTTATGTATGCGGTGACAGCTATCGTATTACGACTCAGACATTTTGTTTAATGAGTCACGACTGAATTGTCATTTTTATAACAATTCTAAAAGTATAGTAACTGGAGTCTTTTACCTCTTAAATTTGGTGAAACCTATGAAATCTCGCCACCATCGATATATTTGATGATCCGTATATTTAAGGCTAATATTGTTAGCAGCATACACTGTTCGATAATAAAGATCATATTGTTCAGAAAATTGGACGCTCCTGATTATAAGCGGAAATCTTAATTCGTGTTGTTCCCATATGTCGTTATTTTAATTTAATTTTTTTTCAAAAACTTAATCAATTAAGTGTATAATGAAATAAAGCTAAATTCAGATAAGGGCCAAAATGCATTCTTGCCGATTGAATTTATCAAATCTTTTCTGGGCACTATAAAGTTTTAATGGGTGAGACTAAGCTAAAAGCAAAGTATACCCTCAAGTGCGCCTCAACTGGAATGAATTTAGTTGATGTTGGTTAGAACGGAGTTAGAGATGTTCCTGATCATTATAATGGCTAAATTTTGCGATTCTGAAATGTCCCCTCCCAAAACGCATCAAAGAAACACCTAATTCAATTGTGCGCCAAAATACATCCCTGCATTTTGAAGTCACTGCTACCCATTTTGCTTGCGAGTCTTCGGTAACCTCAGTTTCTGTGTCTCCCATCTCTCACTCCGATCAAAGTGTCATTACGGTCTTGAATCTAAGCTTGTACCAAATGAATACACAGGGGCGCTGTGTATCGCACTGGATGCCATAATGCCCCCCCCCCACCCTACTGATTTTTGAAAAATTCCTTCACCCGATCAAAAAGTCTGATAAAGACACTTAATTTCGTCATACTATAAATTGTAACTACGCACTGGATGCCATAATGCCCCCCCCCCCACCCTACTGATTTTTGAAAAATTCCTTCACCCGATCAAAAAGTCTGATAAAGACACTTAATTTCGTCATACTATAAATTGTAACTTTGATTTTTTTTTTACACCCCCCCCTCCCTTTTTCCACTCAAAAGACAACTGCGCCCTCGATTCCTGCCCTACTCCCTGATAAAAATGACAGCTTAGGCCTGGTCACCAGTTTTGCCTAATGACGTAACTGGTGTTAGTATCGCCCTGGACGCGACAAGATTGTTTCCGCGCTCCCATTCACGACACAAACTCTGCAGTTGCCCGAAAACGCCTCTCCTCAACACAAGGAAAAAGTGACACATCCATGGGCGTAGCTAGAGTGTTTTGTGCCACGGGGCTTGATTCATTGTATCCCTGCTCTAAACTCTGCAACCCCATTATTTTCATCCTATTAATACCACCAAAGCCCATGTTGGCGCCTCCATAGTCTAACGCTCCCCCTAGCTACGCCTCTAGGCTCTATTACTGACCACCCGAAAAACTGAAATCCCTCCACCCCCTATTTGTCTAAAAATAATACATAAGGCCACAGATACTTGAGTTAAAATAAAATTAACCTATGTAGGCCTATGCCGTTGCAATGATTTAGTACATGAAAACACCGCTGTTGTCTCAGCCTTAACCGAAAAAAAAAAAGTTGTATGGGTTTAGAAACCTGGTGTTAGACTTAGTTGATAAATTCATACAAAAAATACTTTTTATTTATTTAAAACTACTACTAACTACTGAACTAGTCTAGCATGATCACTAATCCACCTATAACGTTAACTAGATTAAGGACTATTACTTGTATTAGTGGTATTTAATAGAGGGTTTAAAACGTCATCAATATTGGGCTGTAGACTTACGTTGCGGTTTATCAAAATCAAAACTTGATTACTCAAGACATTGGGTAACATTGTTGTTGAGACCACAAACATCAAAATTTAATCATGCCAGTCAGTATGCCTGTTCTACACAATATTTACACTCCAATTGTGATTTACAAGCAACATTCCTGGTTTGGGCATGGCTGACCTGGGGGGATACAGGGGGTCTGGACCCCTCTGCTGGCGTCAAAAATATTTAAGTTTTATTAATCAGTAAAGCACAGAGTATATTGTGCTTTGGGGATGGCTAAAGGTGGACCCTCACTTCCATAAAGAAGTCGCTTTTGCCCCCTGGGTATTTTCCTATTCGCTCGCCTCAACAATTCATCGATTTTATTGCTAAATAATTTACCTTTTAAAACTAGATACAATTTTAATTCATTCACTTATGTTGAGTCGAAAGCCAGTTCGTTGTCCATGACCAACATATGACGTCAAAGCTACGGTAAAAACACGAAAGCGAAACTACCCCACTCGCTCTTTTCTCACCAAAAATAAAAAGAAGGGAGACTCCTTTTTGAACGCACCCCATATTTACTTTTTGGTTCTTGAGAGTAACGCTAGTTTCACTTTGAGAGTAACGCTAGTTTCACTTTGAGAGTAACGCTAGTTTCACTTTGAGAGTAACGCTAGTTTCACTTTGAGAGTAACGCTAGTTTCACTTTGAGAGTAACGCTAGTTTCACTTTGAGAGCAACGCTAGTTTCACTTTGAGAGTAACGCTAGTTTCACTTTGAGAGTAACGCTAGTTTCACTTTGAGAGTAACGCTAGTTTCACTTTGAGAGTAACGCTAGTTTCACTTTGAGAGTAACGCTAGTTTCACTTTGAGAGTAACGTTAGTTTCACTAGCTTTTGGCTTTGGAATCTTCCTCCCAAGGAAAGCCAAATCTAGAAATGTTTCATTTATTTTTAATCCCTCGAATATCGACGAATCTGCATAACCATAGAGCTAAATATTGAGATCCCCACCCCACCCGTTGAAAAGTAATTTTCTTTAAATGATGAAGATGTCCACTTTTGAAAGCATTTCTAAGCGAAGTGCAGTAAAGTTGTCTGCTCTGTAGTAATCTTAAATGTTTATAGAATACGTGAAACAGCTTAACGCTTCGAAAAAAAAAAAAAACTTTCCCAAACTTTGGCAACAAATGTTTGTTGTTTTAATCTCAATAATTAGTCAAACCTTATTCTTGAAGAAAAATAATTCGTCAATTTCACGGTACGTAAACCATTAATTCTTTATAATAAATCAAATTTTTCCCCATTGAAGCGAGAAAGAAAAGCATTCACCAGGGAATAAAAGAAAGAGAAAAAAAAGTAAAGTTCATTTAGATGGCTCACCCTTAGCAAGTCCAAAGACAGACACGCCAGAACAGAAACATAAACCACACAAAGACAAAAGAAAGAGCAGTCGAAAAGATGAAATGAAAGACGCCAAACCACCTCAAGAGGTTGCGCCACGACAGCAGTCCGAAGACTTATCGCACGCGCAGTCGTATGCCAGGCTGGCCGAGGAGTTCAAAGCCAAAGCCAGGGGGAGCCCCGCCGACAAGACCTTGGTGGAAATAAAAGAGGTGCTGTCCTCGGCCCTCGCCTCGCAGAATAAGAGCAGTGAGAGGTTGGCCAACACTGCCAGTGGAATGCGTGACGTGCTGGCCCAGCTGGTGAGGCTGATGGCCACTCTCAATCACAGCACCAAGAGGCTTCTCGCGCTTGACCCCTCCAGAACTGAGCGGCAGTTTCCGGCACCAGGTCGTGGCGCGTACGAGGACGCACCGAAACCGAAAAAGATACCACTTTCTGGCCACTACTACGGCGATTTGGTGAGTGAAATTAAGTGTAAGAGGAAGAGTGTTCGAAACAGATGCAAGGGAGAGGGTTTGAGAATAAGAGTGATGGTAGCATAGTGTTAGGAACTTCCTTCAAAACAAAACAGTAGCCTAGACAGTATTTGCGGACTCCATCCAGCCTGAAAGGTGGACGCCTTACTGCTTTTACGCTTTCAAATTATCGTGCAATAATCAATGTATTTATTATCATCTCTTATAGATTTTTTTTAATGGAGATTGGTAGGCCTTACGTACTCATTGTAAGACTGTGATGTTGGGTAGAATCTTTACGTTATGTTGACATTCCTCTCTTTGACTGCAGCAATTCGTGGAGGTGAAGGTTGTGTTTATCCGTATAATGGACATAGACACTATCAATCAGTTGTTTGAGGCAGAGGTCTACATACAAGCCAGGTGGTCGGAGAGTCAGTTTGCTGGGATGTCCGAAAAGGTGAGAATAGGAGAATTGTGATTCACTTTGCTGCGATGTCCGAAAAGGTGAAAATAAGACAATTGTGATTCAGTTTGCTGCGATGTCCGAAAAGGTGAAAATAAGAGAATTTGGAGTCAGTCCTTTAATAACTTGAAGGCTGATTAAGCCCTTAAATTACTTACAGCCTGGACATGCAGCCTAGACTTACAACCTAATGAATGGGAGTCAAATGTAAGTTACAATTTGTCAAGATGAGTATTCGAAACTGATCAACCAACATGCCCTCGTTGGGAGCAGGACCCAGGCAGCAAACTCCGGAGCAATTGGTCCATAATGTAGATAAAATCATTTTGTTTCTCTCTGAAACAACTGAGAACGAACAAGGTGTAGAAAGGGAGAATAAAGATGCCTCGAAAGCTGACCATCTGGATTTATTTGATTTTTTTACGAAATACATTTTATTTTTATTTTTAAAAAACCAGCAATTGGAGGAAATTGAATTCTATCAATGCTGGGATCCCCATCTTAAGATCCTCAATGTCAATGGATCTCTGGACTCGGAGACCACATCCATGCTGTTGCAGTATGAACAGGACCGAATCTACCCAGTGATGACCTACATGTGGCACGTTACCGGTCAGTTTCGTGAGCACCTTGAGTTGCAGCATTTTCCTTTGGATGTCCAGGTGATCGATCAAAATATGGGTTATGCATATCTCTCTCTCTCTCTCTCTCTCTCTCTCCCTCCCTCTCTCTCTCTCTCTCTCTCTCTCTCTCTCTCTCTCTATATATATATATATATATATATATATATATATATATATATATATATATATAATATACATTAACATTATATTCAGGTATTGTTTTTTTTTAAATTTCAAAATTTTAAGGAATAGCTAGTAATTTTCCAAATATGGAGCAAGGAAGTGATGGTGTGGTGAATATGTAAATGAATGAGTCACACGAGATTTGTTGTTTGTTGTCTTGTTAGAAAATATGGATGTAACTACATAGGCAAATCGAAATAGCCATTTTTAATGAAAATTACTAAAGCTTTTTAAAACCGAGTTCAAATTTTTTCCGCTTTCTCGTCTCGTCAAAATTTCGCCATGTAGGAGTTGAGTATCATTCTGTCAAGTGATCTACCCATGACTGAAATTGATTTGGTCTCAGACTTCTTCCACCCCAGTCATGTCAGCGAACGTGCAATGCAGGTAATTTAATTTCAAAATGTTTTCAATAAAACAAAGCAATCTTTGTTAGATCCCTCGTTCCGTTTACCTCTATAACAACAACAAAAACAAACAAAAAAACACTCCCCCCCCCCCCCCCCCTGAAAGACCCGCTAATCGTATTGACTGCGTCCCTTCTCAGGAAAGCCAGGAGTGGAGGGCCTTCCATCATGTCGAGTTCAAGCGCGACTACACGGTCATGGAATTCATGGGCAAATCAAAGCACGGGGTTTTGGTGGCGTCTGCGCATGTCAAGAGAAAGCTGGGCTTCTATTTCTGGAATATCATCATCATCGTGGTGAGCTGGCTTAATCCTTTTATTCATTTTAAACTTTTTTTTTCTCAGGAGCATGTAGAATATAGAAACCATAGCTCCTGGGTACTCCACGTGTAAATTATAAAGTCATGTCTTCAACAACAACAATAAAGTGAGGCTGATGAAATCTTCACCACTTTAAAGTTTTTAATGAGAACAATCAGACTTATGAGATGCGGTTTGATTACACTTACCTGTATGCATTCAAAGCACTAGCCAATATATTATGGTTCAAACTGTTGTGTTTTTTTAAATAAACTATGTTGAATGTGGAATATGTCATTTAGGTCAGCTTGGAAAAACATTTTAGCATTGGAGTTTGGTCGAAAAAAAAAAAAGGAGAGACAACCTCGGCAAGAGTTGGATTATTTTGCAAAGATTAATATTTGATGTCCCAGGTCAGACGATTAATGTTATGAATCGATTTTCGTCTGTTTATCACGTCTCATCACAAAATTATATTCAGCCATAGCTTTCAAAGCGTTTTCCCTAATTTTGGCCTTTGTTCCAGCTTTTGATTCTTGGTCTCAGCTTAACGGTTCTGGCCATTGATGCGACCAGCACGGATCGATTAAGTGTAATCTTCACCTTGTTCCTGACAGCTGTCGCCTTCAAGCTTGTAGTTAAAACTACCCTACCCAACATTTCCTACCTTACCTACTTGGTAAGTCACTCTGCTTCAAGTACCCCCACAGTTTCATACATTAGCCTCGGATACTTTGTAATAAGCCCTTTCTGTGTCCAATCTCGTTTTCGAAATTTTATGATCTCCATTTAATCCAGCAACCTAAAGGCTCTTACAACTATAGAGTAAAACAAAGTAGTTTTGAACCTGGAAAAAGGAGACCAAAAAAAACCAAAAAACAACGAACTTATCGGCAGAAAGCCTTCGTCAGCGAACAAAACAACAGAAAAACAGAATAAAACTAAATAATAGCCCTTGGCTTAAAAGTAGTATCCGAGGGCAGCTAAAGAATTTTAGTCTCTCCCCTTATTACCCTCTTACAATGGTTCCCAGATCAAAGAATGGTCAGAGCCCTGTCATCTCCTGGTGAGCAATTCAACTACCTACTAAATGCAGGAGGTTCAACGACATTCATCTTGTTACATATCGTTATTAAAGAATTATATGTGGGCCTTACATGCGCTAACGATTTAAAAAAAAAAAAATCATTTCATGTTTTCACCATTATTCATCACCGTCCTCGTGGTATGCATCCTAAATGTCTTTTTAAAGCAAGGAGAAATTTGCTGGGGAAATTAAATAAAGGAGATTTAATTTTTTAAAAACAAAAATAAATAATAATAAAATCTGATTGATTTAGGGGTCACGGAAAAAATACTTAAGCTCAGACGCGGATTGTTATTGCTGCTCTAGCACAGTGGTTCTCAAAGTGGATGCTGCCATCCCCAGGGGACGGTGGGACTGATAAAAAAAGGGGGGAGGGTGAAATGTTCGTTGGTCTTAGGGGGTGGTAGGATTAACTAACGGTGCTGGTAACTTTGATAATGCTAATTTTTTTAAATCAGATATTTGATCTTCGGCATTTAAAAAAAAAAAAAAAAGACGTATATAGATATCACTGAGATCAATGTTCCCTCTAAGGTTTGTTGGTTCGTGTGCAAAATCATAAAGTTGTGTGCACATTTTTACAGCATCAATTTTTTTGTGTGCAAAACTTTACAGCCTACAGACACAAACACACACTTGAATGGAAATTGGCTGCGCGGTACTCAAAACTCCTGCGTGGCGTCTGTGAGATTGCTGCGCTGCTGCGCAGCCGCGCAGCTTATAGGGCACATTGACTGAGATATTATAAATACCATCAGACACACGAGGAAAGACCTTTGACATTTGAACAGTAGGCGAAGCGTTAACAACAAAACTTGTTTACGAAACGAGAGCAGTGAACGCAGACAGCGCTAATAAAATGGCTAACGTTGAGTCGCTGAAGGGTTGTTTAAAAAAAAAAAACCATGAACAAATGTCCCAGAAATAAAACGAATGGAATCTTAACTCGTATAATTTCTATCATGTTTTAGATTTCATGAATATCGTTGTAATGGTTGAGTCATACCTCTATTGAACAATGGTAATTTAAGGGGTACAGCAATACTGGGGAGGGGGGGTGCATGGTGCGATTGTGTTTAAATGTTAATTTTATGGAAAACTCATTCAACTAACAAAAATTTCCCTTGTTCTGCACATCAAAAAATGTAAAGCAAACCCATCTATAGATAAAAAGAGATTTTATTAAGACAATGATTTTAAGTCAAATATGTAGAATGCAATTGCAGTGCTTTTGTAGTAGAACGTGGTTTTAGTTTTTTTGTGGTAGAAAGTGGTTTGTGTTGTTGTAGTAGAACGTGGTTTGAGTGCTGTTGTAGTAGAAAGTCGTTTTAGTGCTGTTGTATCAAGTGGTTTTAGTGATGTTGCTCACATTAGCCCCAGGTTAAGGAGCGAAGCGATTTATGAATCATGTGACTTTCAACCAGAAACCGAGAAGCGGAAGTCACCCCACAAAGCCCATACAACGCCTTGACAACATGGTGAAAAGGGAAAAAATGTAATTATTAGTATGAAATGTCAGACACAAAAGTCATGATTTATTATTACACTACTTTAAATGTGGCGTCACGTGACATCGTTCGATCAAGATAACCAAGTTTATATTGTAAAATGTTCAAATATATGTTACATTTTACTCTCATTTTATGATGTTATCGTTTCACAAGCTTGGGTAAAACTACTATTATGTTAACTATTTATTAATTTTGAGAGAGGTGTAAGGGGGGGGGGCTAGAAATATTTTTATGGCATCCAGGGGATGGTGGGCGAAAAAATGTTTGGGAATCACTGCTTTAGTATAATGGAGTATTTTCCATGGCTTTAAAAAAAAAAATAATTGCTCATTAATATGTCATCAAATTGGGGTTACTTGCTGTATTCCATGTCTTAAAATGTGTTATCAAAGTGGGGTTACTTTTTGTGTTCCATGTCTTAAAATTTGTTATCAAAGTGGGGTTACGTACTGTTATCAGTATGGAGAAATTAATCTCTTATTTAAGTATATCGCTCTTTCTAAAAGAGTAAACACCAAAAGACGATACCATATGACAAATACACTAACAAAGAATAAAATACTCACACCAGGGCTAATTACAATTAATTAGTTTTATTATGTTAAGTATAAATTAGAAAATAAAAAGAAATGAAATTAAAACTATTGACTTACAGCACAATGATTGGCTTGTAAAAGTACAGTGTCGAAGAAGATTCAATGTTGTAAAAATGTACAATGATGAAAAAGAATCTACACATGCGCACACAGTAAACAAAGCTCTCTATGAAAATAGCACACGGTCAAAATAACTCTCGTCAGTCGTCTCGTCCATGTCGTTCAATCCATCGGCTGATATAGCCTGTTTTTTTTTTTAAATATAATTCTAGAAGGCTACGCATTATACTCGCTTCCCGCTGCTTCTACAATATTCTACAAAATTCGAATCATGAAACAGACCCTAGATTTTTTTAATTGTAGCCTAGGTCAAAGGGAGACTATAACCAGTAAGCTACGCCCTACTAAAGCGCAGCCAAACTTGGGGTCAGCTTAAGTTCATTCACCAGAAGAGATGGTTGAAAGTAAATGGCGCGCCATGACAGTGGGGTTACTTGTGTTCCGTGTCTTGAAAGTTGTTTTGGTGTTGTTGTTTTTTTTAATATTAGCGATTGATGGAAATGAAAACCAAAAACACGTCCTTAAAAACTCTTTAAACATAACAGACTCGGCATGTGAATATCCTTTTTGTATGTGCAACTTTCCAAATTCAGGACATTTATATCGTGTTTACCCTGGCCTACCTGGCACTGCAAGCTGCCGTAAACGCCATGATGGTCCACCTTGCAAAATTCAGAGACAGGGCCAAGGTGCTGTGGTACGATGAAATAGCCCAGTCACTTCTAGTGGTGCTGCTCATCCTGTTTCATGCTGCCTTCTTCATTTATATCCAGCTTACGGTGCGTGTCCTGTTGACCTTTAGTTCAAAGTTCACGTTAAATTTTTACAAATCTTCCTCCTCCCCATTATTTTCCCCTTTTCATCGAGCATTTACCCTCATATCGTCTTCTTATCACTCATTTTTTTACTCTCATCACTTCTATTTCAATCCCATCACTCATTTATTTCTCTCATCCCTCATATGTTCCTCTCATCCCACATTTCTTCCTCTCATCACTGAGATCTTCCTCTCATCGCTCATATCTTATGCTATCATACACAAATGCTTGGTCTTTGGGTTTTACTTGTACCTTTACACATTTTATTGTTGGAATTTATTGAAGTTTGTGTACATAATATGATATTCTACTGCAGGCTCAGAAGAGAAGACGTCAGATGCAGAAAAAAGATCACGATATTGCGGTTAGTATTTGATTCATATTTGTAAATCTTGTCATTGTAATTTCAATATACACAATTAACAAGTAACCAATTAATATATCTAATAAATAACAAATGAGTATATCTAGCAACTGACCATTAATCATTGTATCCCACTATTAACCAATCAATATATCTAGCAACTGATCATCAATTAATCTATCCAACAACTAACCAATTGATATTTCCCCCAATTGACCATCAATTAGTGTATCCAACGGCTAACCAATTAATAATTAATGTATCTAGCAACTGACCAGCAATTAATGTATCCAACAACTAACCATTTAATATATATAGCAACTGACCATCAATTAATATATCCAACAACTAACCAATTAATATATCTGGCAACTAACCATCAATTAATATATCTAACAACTAACCAATTAAGATTTCCAACAACTTACCAATTTATATATTAACATTTTACCAATCTAAATATCTCAATTAATATATAGCCTATAGCAACTGCCTATCAATTAATATATGCAACAACTAACAATTTAATATATCTAGCAACTAACCATGAATCAATGTATCCAACAACTTACCAATTAATACATCTAACAACTAACCAATAATTACACTATCTAACAAATAACCATTTAATATATCAAGCAGCTAACCGTCAATTAATATATTTAGCAACTAACCAACAGTTTTAATAAGATTGAAAATAAATCAACGTGAAATAATCTACCCCTTTTGAAAAGCGTTGTTTTTTTTTTTTTTGTTGTTGTTTCTTTTCAATGATATCCCTTCTCCAAACAGCTGCATCTCAATCCCGACCTCTCAACTCCACATCTCCTCAAACTCCTCCATTTTCCTTTGTCCCGTCATGTTTCCTATCACGTTACCGCATTGGGTAATAGATTTTTGACTCTAGCCCCCATGTAGCCATCAAGCCTCTGCGATTGCAACATTTCCTTAAATAATACAAAGCGTTGCTATAGACATAACACTGGATTAGGCTTATTTATTGTGGTCACTGCAAGATCACAATTAAAGTAAATATGTTGAGGGGGGGGGTGATGGGGAGAGATTTTAAAGGTCATTTTTTTAGATCAATTATTGATCAGTAATGACAGATTAACTTTACCTTTCATTCTAGTATCATTTAGTTTTCGAAATCAATTAATTGATCAGTGATGATAGATTAGTTTTACCTTTCATTCCAGTATCATTCAGTTTTTGAGATCAATTAAGTGATCAGTAATGACAGATTAACTTT